TCTGACGGGGGGTTATGGTACACAGGAGAAGGGTGTACATTGAGGTACACTGGGGACAGGTATCAGGTCAGGGGTGATGGTTAGAGTACATAGGAGTATATTGGGGTACACAGGAGATGGGTGTATATTGGGGTACACAGGAGATGGGTGTATATTGTGGTACACAGGAGATGGGTGTATATTGGGGTACACAGGAGACGGGTGTATATTGGGGTACACAGGAGATGGGTGTATATTGGGGTGCACAGGAGACGGGTGTATATTGGGGTATACAGGGGGCAGGTATCAGGTCAGAGGTGATGGTTGTAGTACACAGAAGTATATTGGGATACACAGGTGATGGGTGTATATTGGGGTACTCAGGGGGCAGGTATCCGGTTGGGAGGTGACGGTTCTAGTACACAAAAGTATATTGGGATACACAGGTGATGGGGGTATATTGGGGCACACAGGGGGCAGGTATCAGGTCGGAAGTGATAGTTATAGTACATATGAGTATATTAGGGTACCCAGCAGATGGGTGTATATTGGGGTACACAGGGGGCAGGTATCATGTCAGAGAGAGGTGATGGTGATAGTACAGATGAGTATATTGGGGTACACAGGAGACGGGTGTATATTGGGGTACACAGGGGGCAGGCATCAGGTCGGAGGTGATGGTTGTAGTACACATACATATATTGGGGTACACGGGGTCGGTATCAGGTCGGAGATGGTTATATTACACATGAATGTATTGGGGTACATAGGGGACAGGTTTTAGATCAGGGGTGATGGTTATAGTACGCAGGAGTATATTGGTGTACACAGAAGTTAGGTGTATTTTGGGGTGCCCAGGGGACAAGTATCCGGTCGGGAGGTGACGGTTCTAGTACACAGAAGTATATTGGGATACACAGGTGATGGGTGTATATTGGGGTGCACAGGGGACAGGTATCAGGCCGGAAGTGATGGTTATAGTACACAGGAGTATATTAGGGTACCCAGGAGATGGGTGTATATTGGGGTACACAGGGGGGGGGGCAGCTATCCTGTCAGGGGGGATGGTGATAGTGCAGAAGAGTATATTTGAGGTTGTTGAATAATGAGCTCCTTGGCACACCTCAGGCAGTGAGGGGTTACTGGGGGAGGTGGGCTGTGGTTGGGGGGCGGTGTGGGGCCCCCAGTGGTGTACACTGGCTCCCTGTCAGGGTGGGAGAACAGTAGGGGCTGTTGTAGTGCCAGGATTGGTGGGTGTGGTGATGACACAGAGCTGCCTCTTTCAGAGGAAAAAGTGGTCACCCTGAGAGCAGAGAGCAGACTGAGCGAGCGACCGCAGGAGAACAGCCAGATACCAGGTGATACTCCGCTGTTACCCTTCTCACTGCCCCGCTCCCCGACTCTGCTGACTCTGCTCCTATCACTTGTATCTCTGCTCGCTGATACCCTTCTCACTGCCCCGCTCCCCGACTCTGCTGACTCTGCTCCTATCACTTGTATCTCTGCTCGCTGATACTCTTCACACTGATTCTCAGCTATAATCCTTCTCAGTGTTACTCTGCTCACTATTACTCTTCCCCCGTTACCTCTGCACTCTCTCCTCGTACTGTTACTCTCTCATTCTGCTATTAGTGTATATGATTACTCTGCTCCCCATCCCCCTTTGTAGTATTACTCTGCTCCCCATCCCCCTTTGTAGTATTACTCTGCTCCCCATTCCTCTTTCTAGTATTACTCTGCTCCCCATTCCTCTTTGTAGTATTACTCTGCTCCCCATCCCCCTTTGTAGTATTACTCTGCTCCCCATTCCTCTTTGTAGTATTACTCTGCTCCCCATTCCTCTTTGTAGTATTACTCTGCTCCCCATTCCTCTTTGTAGTATTACTCTGCTCCCCATTCCTCTTTGTAGTATTACTCTGCTCCCCATTCCTCTTTGTAGTATTACTCTGCTCCCCATTCCTCTTTGTAGTATTACTCTGCTCCCCATTCCTCTTTGTAGTATTACTCTGCTCCCCATTCCTCTTTGTAGTATTACTCTGCTCCCCATTCCTCTTTGTAGTATTACTCTGGAATAACCTTCACTGTCATACTCCCTTTTACCGCTGCTATTGCTCTTGTTACTGTTATTTTGGTTACTGTTACCAACTATTCCTCTGCTCCGGTTTTCCCTTCCGTTCATTTCCATTACAGCATTATGACTCTTCTTACTGGTGCTCTGTAAATCTTACTCTGAGCTTACTCTGCTCACTATTTTCATTCTTCTAGCTACTCTGAATTTAGTGTCTCACTGTACAATGGCTCTGCACACTGTTACCCTGTATACTCTATCCACTCAATGTTACCCTGTGTACTATGTCTCTTCTCACTGTTATCCTGTGTACTATGTCTCTGCTCACTGGTACCCTGCGTACTGTGTCTCTTCTCACTGTTATCCTGTGTACTATGTCTCTGCTCACTGGTACCCTGTGTACTATGTCTCTTCTCACTGTTACCCTGTGTACTATGTCTCTGCTCACTGGTACCCTGTGTACTGTGTCTCTTCTCACTGGTACCCTGTGTACTATGTCTCTTCTCACTGGTACCCTGCGTACTGTGTCTCTTCTCACTGTTACCCTGCGTACTGTGTCTCTTCTCACTGGTACCCTGCGTACTGTGTCTCTTCTCACTGGTACCCTGCGTACTGTGTCTCTTCTCACTGGTACCCTGTGTACTATGTCTCTTCTCACTG